GCAGCTTTTTCTGACAACAGCCGCTTCTTGACCCCACAGCACATGAATATTTCTCTTCAGGTCCACCATGGCTCTTCAGAATAATCTGTGACTGACTTAACGTCATTTCCAGAGGGCACAATATAAACCAACCGAGCACTGCACAACAGTAAACCAACGATGGAATTACTGTAGGTGGATAAAACACAGTATAATATTTATATATATAAAAAACTGAGTGACGAAAACGAGGAAGAAGCCTGAGCAAACAAACGCCATTCCCCCCCCCCCCTGCCCAGCCCTATGCAGGATTATCCCCCGTCTCCTCTGATGTCTACCTTATTAATATGTTTGGACCAGTGGCGGGGACTGGATGTTTTTCCCCACCCTTCTTTCAGGCTGCAAGCATGATCTAACCCCCTTCCCTCCCTTTTTAAAAAATCTTTAAAATAATGATCTGCAGGAGTTTGTGGTAAGAGACGGCCACGGTGGCTCAGTTTCCTCCCTCGGAGACTTCCCACTCATCTGCCGACCGGCAGCGAAACCTCATGTTCTCGGCATGCCACAGACGGACCGTGCATGCCAAATGGTTGACAAACCAGTGACATAAAGTCTCCGGGAGAACTCGGAACAAGCAGAGTGGCGAAAACCGAGAGCCACGGAAGAAGCAGCGCTTACCTGAGGATTTCAGAAACCGTTTTCCTGCAAATCTGAACCAAGCCTCAAACTCTGGGTAGGATGTAAAAATTTAGGGTTAAGAGCCCGGATGCTGCCTTTGACAGGACTGTGGGCAGCCTATGGATTTCAGAATATTGTCCAGAACTCACGTTTTCTCACTGAGAAGATGAGCAAGCCAAATGCGCTTGAAAGTAATACTCAGGAAGAGTATTTCCTCAAAGACATGGGTGGGGTCACAACGCTGACTCAATTCTGTGCAGCACGACATAAAAACAGGATGACTCTCGTTCACCCCACACCAACAGCCACAGTTGCACTGGATAAGGTATCAAAGGTGTTTTAAGCGTATGCTTAGTTACAGGCCCTTCTTCTTGTCTAGGAAAATCAACTATGAGGGATCCAGAACTTTACGATAAAAACTGCTCAGGGAAAGGTCTCAGTGCAGTTTACCAAGGTCAAGCAAAAAAAACTTCACTCCCTGACTGTTACGGTGCTTTTGGGACATTCTGAGCATCCACTTCATAGAACAGTCAAGTTGGAAGGGCCCTCTGAGGCCATCCAGTCTAACCCGCTGCTCAATACAAGAATACAAATCAAAGGAGATCTGACAGGTGGTTGTCTAACTTTCTCTTGAATGCCTCCAGGGCTGGAGCACTCGCCACCTCTCGAGGCCATGGGTTCCACTGTCGCGCTGCTCTAACAGTGAAGAGGTTTTTCCTCACATTCAGTCGAAATCTGGCTTCCTGTAACTTGAGCCGATGGTTGCGTGTCCTCCACTCTGGGACAATCGAGAAGAGATTATGCTCCTCCGCTGTGTGACAGCCTTTCAAATCTTGGAAAAGAGCTATCCTATCACCCCTCTGTCTCCTTTTCTCAAGGCTAAACATGCCCAGTTCTTTTAGCCTTTCCTCCTAGGGCTTCGTTTCCAGCCCCCTGATCCTCCTTGTCGCCCTCTTCTGAACTTGTTTCAATTTGTTAGCATCCTTCTTGAAGTGGGGTGTCCAGAACTGGACACAGGACTCAAGGGGAGGCCTAACCAGTGCTGAATAGAGAGGGGCACAAGCACCTTGCAGGATTTGGAAATTATACTTCTGTTAATGCAGCCTAAAATAGCATTGGCCTTTTTTGTAGCCACATCACATGGTTGGCTCATATTTAGCTTGTGCTCTACAACGTTTCCAAGATCCTTCTCGCTGGTAGTTTTGCGGAGCCAGGTGTCCCCCATCTTGTACCTGTGCAATTGGTTTCGTTTTCTGAGGTGCAGAACTTTGCACTTATCCCTGTTGAATTTCATTCTGTTGCTTTTTGCCCAGTGCTCCATCCTATCAAGGTTATTTTGAATTTTGTTTCTGTCTTCTAGACTATTAGCTCTTCTGCCCAATTTGGTATCATCTGCAGATTTGACAAGCATTCCCTGCACTTCCTCATCCAAGCCATTCATAAAAATATTGAAGAGCAGCGGGTCCAGGACTGAGCCTTGGGGTACCCCACTTCTGACCTCCTCCCTGTTAGAGGAGGATCCATTAATCACCACCCTCTGAGTACAATTCTGTAGCCAATTGTGCACCCAGCTGACACTTGATCTATCCAGCCCACACCTACCATGTTTCCCCGAAAATAAGACAGGGTCTTAGATTAGTTTTTCCTCCAAAAACAGCAGTAGGGCTTATTTTCAGGGGATATTTTTTTCATGTACAGCAATCTCCATTGATTCAAAGACAGTCATGCCATCTTCTTCTTGTTGCTGCTGCACAAAGGTGGAGGGCAGGGTTTCACTTCACTGGGGCTTATTTTTGGGGTAAGGCTTATATCACGAGCCTCCTGAAAAATCATACTACGGCTTATTTTCAGGTGAGGTCTTATTTTCAGGGAAACAGGGTAGCTAGCTTGCTAATCAGGATATCATGGGGCACTCCGTCAAAGGCTTTATTTTATTTTATTTTATTTTATTTTATTTTATAGGCCACCTTTTCCCCAATAAGGGGACCCAAGGCAGCTCACAATATTAAAAAGAATAGAATAAAAACCGTACTAAGTTAAACATTAAAAATAATTAAGCAATATACTCATTTAAGGTTATTTATTTACTTATCCATTCGACTTGTGCCCACACTTTGCAAGAGTCTCTGGGTGGCTTCCAACCTCAATTTAAAACAATATAATTAAAACAGGCACGCTAAAAACTAATACAGATAAAACAAAGACCATCTAGATCCATAGTTATCAACATACAATTGAATAATTGAAAATAGGTAAAATGACACAAACTGTTTTAACTGAGAAACGGCATGAAGGGACTTAGTCATCATGGTTGTTAAGAGCCTGACTCAACCAGCCTGACTCAGGCCAGCCTGACCTCCCAAGAGAGAGCCTGCCAGAACCCAGGAACTGCCACAGAACTCCGCTGATGTCAAGATATACTATGTCTACAACATTCCCAGCATCTACCAGGAAGGTTAGCCAGTCAAAAAATGGGATTCAGTTGATCTGACAGGATTAGACTGGCTAGAACAGAGGATCCAAAGGTAAAGGGGATCCCACCACAACCCCTGAACAAGACACAGACGCCCCTCGCCCATCTCTGGGCGACAGCAACAACAGCCGCCACCTTCTGCCTGGAGATCCTCAGGCTAAGCGCAGTTGGCCAGAGTGGCTTGGAGCGGATCTGGCCAGACGGGCCACCCAATGAATCATCACTACTGGACTTTCAGCCAAACCAGTGGGCGAACTTCTCCTGCCCCACCCTAGGTTTCACTTTCTTGTCTTTTCTTGAGCTGAAAGTTTAGATTGATGGGCTGGCTCACATCCGCCCGAGCTCCAGAAGGAGGAAAGAAAACCAGCTCCCCCCAGCAAGTCTGATCCCGACACAGCCCTGGGGAAAGGCATTCCAAAAGCCATGGGGAGGAGGGCTTCCCTCCTCCCACTGGGCTTGTGACCTTCCTGCCTCCCCCAAAAAAAGCTCCTCCAGGGGAGACGGGGGACCCTGGGCAACGGAGGGGATGTGGCTGGCCATTGAAGGCCACAGCCGGTCACTTCTGACACTCTCTGCACTGAATCAACGTGCAAAAGAATAAGCAGGCTCTCGGGGCAAATTCAAGAACAGAGCTTTGAAGCCTTCCTTTTCTAGATGATAGCCGCAGACGACACCCCCAGCCAGCAGGACCAAGAGGAACAGTTATCCCAAAAGGCAACTCTCCCCATTCAGGACCACTCAGAGAGTACGTAGGTGTCCCAGGACGGTTGGCTCATCTCAAAGCCACCCTTCCTGAACGGAGAGAAACCGGGGGGGAGGGGGAGAGGAGGCCCTAGCTGGAAGGCACCCAATTTAAAGGTTCACCAACAAGTCCGGTTCTGCCGCTGATCAAGTCAGCTGCAACAGCAGCTTTTTCTAACAACTGAAATCTGGCTTCCTGTAACTTGAGCCCATTGTTGCCTGTCCTGCACTGTGGGAGGATCAAGAACAGATCCTGCCCCTCCTCTGGAGGACAGCCTTTCAAATATTTGAAAAGGGCTGACCCATCACCCCTCCATTCTAACAGTGCCACCAATTCAGTACTTTCGGATGCAGTTCATCCAGCCCTGGAGATTTGAATTCGTGCAAGGCGGTAAGGTATTCCTTGACGATTTGTTTATCTATCTCCAGCTGCAATCCTGTTCCCCCCACCACTTGCACTTCCAATTTGTTTGGAAGGTCATTGTCTGTCTTATGGGAAAAGACGGAACTAAAATAGGAATTGAGCTCCTCTGCCTTTTCTTTGTCCTCTGTTATCATTTTTCCATCTCCATCGCGGAGCCGTGCCACCATGTCTTTGGTTTGTCTTTTCCAGCTCACGTACCTGAAGAATGCTTCTTATTACTTTTAGTGTCCCTAGCTAACCTCAACTCATTCTTAGCTTTTGAGCTCCTAAGGTAATCCCTGCATTTCCTCGCTACTTGTCTGTACTCCTCCTTGGTGGTTTGGCCTTCTTTCCACTTCCTGTACACGTCATTTTTGGTTTTTAGGTCCTCCCTGAGCTTTTTGTGAAGCCACGCTGGTCTTTTTTGCTGCCTCCACCCTTTTTTCTTGTTTGAATTGTTTGTAGTTGTGCCTTTAGAATTTCTTTTTTTTAGAAGCTCCCACCCTCCTTTTTGGGCTCCTTTTCTTGTTAGGATCTCCTGCCATGGGACCTTCCTTATCCTTGTTCTGCAATTATTTATTTATTTATTTATTTATTTAAAATTGTTTTTAAAAAAAAAAAACCCAGCAGACATGTGCGCCTACACTCTGCTTTCCTTTCCTTTGAAATCAAGGAGGAAGGCCATCTGTGGTCCCTCTGGCCAAGAGTTCCCCTTCCTGCCACTTCCCCCCCCCAAGTCATCTCTGTTGGTCAGAATCAAGGATAGCAAATCCTCTCGTTTCTTTCTCCTCTTCTTGGAGGAGGAAATGATCAGCCACACAAGCCTAGAATTTGGCGAAGGCCAAATGGGTCAGGATTTCTGTTTTCTAGCAACAGGCAAGGGTTGTGTGACTGAGCTCCGGATGCAAGGCAGCTGCACGTCCCAGGCAGCCCTGAGCTGAGAGATCCTGTTCCAACCGGCTTCACAAAATCACATCTTTTCAAAGATGCTCTGGCTCAACGTACCGACAGAGGGCAAGCTTGCTGCACAGTTGTGAGTTGTCTGTGGCAAACGAGAACCCTGTGAAGTGCATCGGGGCGGCAGTGTCGGCGGGGAAGTAGCATTCCCTGGACGGCTCAGCTTGTCTTAAATTTAGTTTTCTGGAAAGCAAGGCTAAAAAGCCAGCAATGCAGAAAAACTCTTTAAAGAGGTTGGTTCGAATTAATAGGAAATCCAGCTTGGACAGACTTTGGGTGGGCAGGCAATATCTTTGCTAAACAAGATGGTGAGAATGAATGCTCCCGAACTCAGCACCGGTCCTGCTGTAAAGCCCAGATTGCGCACTGGTCCTGCAAGCATTTTCCTCTGCATCTACATGGCATTCCTCTTATATCCCTTTGAACGAAATGTCCCCTCTTGCATAAGTTCCTGTACCTTTTTGCCCTGAACCCCAGATCAGAGAAGGGCAGAGTTCACTAATCATAGGATCACAGCATTGGAAGAGACCACTGAGGCCATCCAGTCCAACCCCTCTGCCATGCGGGAACATCCATCCAAGCACTCCTGACAGACGGCCGTCCTGCCTCT